CTGGGCTGCAACCCAGGCATGTGCCCTTGACCGGAATTGAACCTGAGACCCTTCAGTCCACAGGCCGACCCTCTATCCACTGAGCCAAACCAGCTAGGGCTTACATATTATTTTTAAATGAAATCGACATAGGAGTTCAGATTACATCTTAGGTATATTTTTGTATAGACATTACACTTTAATTAGAAATAAGAAATTGGATGCATTCTAATTTTAAACTTATATTGGCATACTTAGGAACATTTATTAAAAGTTATTAAATGCATTTTAGAATGTCTGTGAACCTTTGATAATTATATACATGATTTTATGTTCATGCACTCTTGTGTATTTTTTAGGGAGAGGTTTTATTAGATCTCAGAAGGGTAGGAAACTACTGTAATAATTGGTATTTTTACTTTATATAGGATAATTATTATGTAAAAATATTTTATTGTTTTGTACTATGGAACTACTTTCCCAGATTTAAAAAAAAAAGGTAAAATTATGCATTTCCAAAACAAAATTTTTAATCACTATTTTTTCCCCCTACGGACATTCTTTGGGTCCCTTTGCTGTTTGGTTCATGTGAGCCACGTAATGCTGGTAATCACACAGTTTGACAGTGCTAAGTGGTGTAGATTCAGACTGTATAACAGGTGTTATAGAGAGGCTGTAAATTAGGCCTCGTGAGCCTGTGATGTCTTAAAGGGGACATACCTGGTAACAAATGTATATAGTGTAAACATGTTTGATTTTTTTACAAAGCTGTGTGATGTGATATAATGAAATTAGTCTTTCAGATCATTTATGACATAATATAAAATCTTCACTTTTATTGTTATTATTTGAAATAGCAATTTCTTCTCTTCATAAAATATTTTCAAACAAGGTTCTGTGACCTAAAATCTTTTTTCTGTAAAAAATTGCTGCTTTCTTTGTTTATATTATCATAGATAAAAGCTGAAAGAATTCGTGGAAATCCATCAGACACAAACGTAGAAGGACATGGAGGTTAGAGCGATTGAAACTCGCCTACATTGTGCTATATAGTAGTCCTCCCCTTATCTGCAGGGGATGTTTCCAGACCCCAGTGGATGCCTGAAACTGCAGATAGTACCAAGCCCTATACGCACTATGTTTTTTCCTATACATATACACCTATGGTAAAGTTTATAAATTAGGCACAGTGAGAGGCTAACAACTAATAATAAAGCAGAGTGATTGAGACAGTAATTGAACACAAGCACAGCCATACCTCAGTAGACGATCTGATAATGCGATGGCTGCTAAGTGACAGGTGTAGTGTACACAGTGTGAGACGACAAGGCAGTGACTCACGTTCCAGGCTGGATGGAGTGGGATGGCATGGCATTTCATCATGCTACTCAGAACGCACCTAACTTAAAACTTGTGAATTGTTTACTTCTGTAACTTTCCATTTAATATTTTCAGAATGTGGTTGATCACGGGTAACCAAAACCATGGAAAGCAAAATCCAAAAGCAAAACTACGGATAAGGGGGGGACTACTTAAAATTCTTTTACATTCACTTAAAAGTGATTTTTTAAAAAATATATTTTATTGATTTTTTACAGAGGGGAAGAGAGAGAGACAGAGAGCCAGAAACATTGATGAGAGAGAAACATCGACCAGCTGCCTCCCGCACATCTCCCACTGGGGATGCACCCGCAACCCAGGCACATGCCCCTGACCGGAGTCGAACCTGAGACCCTTCAGTCCGCAGGCCGACACTCTCTCCACTGAGCCAAACCGGTTTCGGCTAAAAGTGGTTTTTAAGAAGACTCATTTGCTGGCGTCATGGGTGGGTAGGAGCGGGAGTGAAGTGACTGCCGGTAGGGTTCACAGTCGAGCGACTCGTTTACTCTGGACGATGTTCTGGCTGTCGGAGTGGCTGCTCTGGCATCTTTGTTCCTGACTTCATTTCCGTAGGTCGTAGTGCTGTCCTAGTTCTCAGGTGAGGAAAGTGACCTGAAGGTCACTTAACTAGAAAGTGACAAACCAAGGTCTAATCCAGGTCAGGGGAAGGAAAGTGTGTTCTGTTTTTCCAAGGACACGTCTACTCCTGCAAGGCCTGGCATTACTGTGAGAGGTGGTGGATAAAGACCTGGGGAGATGTTTCTGTTCTGTAACAAAGTTTTATATATATATATGGATATATACATTTACATTTACATTTACATACACACACATACACACACACACATATTCAATAGTATTTTGAAATACTATTTTGATTTTCAAATAATTAATTTGAAATCCATTATGTGTTAGGTTTTTGGCTCTTGTCCAAAGAAGAATATGCAAGTAACTATTCTCACCTGTCGACACGTTACTGACTATAAGACTTCAGAGTCTACCAGCAGCCTTCATTCTCCTTTCCTGAAAGCCCTAAAAACACAGAATTCCAAAGAGCCTCCATGCTGCTCACTGCTGGAACAACCCAACATCGTACACGACCTCCCTGCAGCAGGTGGTATTAAAGTTCGTAACCTTTACGTTACATCTTGGTATTGCTTTATTGGTAGTAATTCCTTTGAGTGTGAGGTCTTTCTGAGGTAGTTTGTTAATGATGATTGATAATGCATTGCTGTTTAACCTCAGTATCTGTAGTTGCCAGTACATCCTGTTTGGTTTGAGTTTTAAAATTTTCTACACACAGTTACATGAGAACAGCTCCGAGTTCTTAACTGTTGCCTTTCAGAGCTGCTGTTTCTTGGTCTTTGGTAACTCATGTGAGCCAATGTTAGATATAAATTGTTGGTATATGAAAAGTTGGTAAAGTGTGTTTTAATTATCAAAATAATAGTTTCAAATATTGAATCTTGATAATTTTAATATTTTTGTTCCTGTTACTACTATATCAAAATTAGATTGTCACTTTTC